GGTAGTGTGTGGGGGTATCTAGGAATTTGTTCATTTCCTCCAGGTTGTCCAGTTTGTTGGCATATAATTTTTCATAGTATTTTCTGATAATTGTTTGTATTTCTGTGGTGTTAGTTGGGGTATGTCCTCTTTCATTCATGATTTTATCTATTTGGATCCTTTCTCTTTTCTTTTTGAGAAGTCTGGCTAGGGTTTATCAATTTTGTTTAATTTTTTCAGAAAACCAGCTCTTAGTTTCATTGATCTGTTCTACTGGTTTTTTTGGATTCTATATTGTTTATTCCTGCTCTAATCTTTACTATTTCTCTTCTTCTGCTGTCCTCGGGGTTTCTTTGCTGTTCTGCTTCTAGTTCCCTTAAGTGTGCTGTTAGATTTTGTATTTGGGACTTTTCTTGTTTTTTGAAATAGACCTGGTTTGCAATGTATTTCCCTCTTAGGACTGCCTTTGCTGCATCCCAAAGGGTTTGAACTGTCATGTTTTCATTTTCATTTGCTTCCATATATTTTTTAATTTCTTCTTAAATTGCCTGGTTGACCCATTCATTCTTTAGTAGAATGTTTTTTAACCTCCATGCATTTGGAGGCTTTCTAAATTTTCTCTTGTGTTTGATTTCAAGTTTGATAGCATTGTGATCAGAAAATATGCATGGTATGATCTCAATTCTTTTATATTTATTGAGGGTTTTGTGACCCAGTATGTGATCTATCTTGGAGAATGTTCCAGGTACACTCAAAGAGAATGTGTATTCTGCTGCTTTTGGATGAAAAGTTCTGGATATATCTGTCAAGTCAATCTAATCAAGTATACCATTCAAGGCCATTGTTTCTTTATTGATTTTTCCCCCAAATGATCTGTCCATTGATGTAAGTGGAGTAATTAAAGTCCCCTGCAATTACAGTATTCCTATCAATAAGATTGCTCATGTTTGTGATTAATTGATTTATGTATTTTGGTTCTTTCAAGTTGGGAGCAGAAACATTTACAATTGTTAACTCTTCTTGATGGATAGACCCTGTAATTATGATATAATGCTCTTCTTCATCTCTTGTTACAGCCTTTAGTTTAAAATCTAGTTTGTCTGATGTAAGTATGGCTACTCCAGCTTTCTTTTGACTTTGATAGAATGACTATTATCAAAAAGTCAAAGCAAGTGTTGGTGAAGATGGGGAAAGAAAGGGAGCACTTGTACAATGTTGGTAAGAATGTAACACAGTATAATCACTAGGAAAATAGTATGGAGGTCCCTCAAAAAAATTAAAAAATAGAACTACCATGTGATCCAGCAAATCCAACTCCTGAATATATATCCAAATAAAATGAAAATCACTATCTCAAAAAGTTATCTGCACTCCCATGTCCATTACAGCACTATTAACAATAGACAAGATATGGAAGCAATCTAAGTTCATTGACATATGAGTGGATAAGTACACACACACACACACACACACACACACACACACACACAATGTATTATTATTCAGCCTTTAAAGAGAAGTAAATCCTGCCATTTATGATAACACAGATGAACCTGGTGGGGGAGGTGCATTATGCTAAGTGAATTAAACCAGACACAGAAAGACAAATACTTTGCAATTTCATTTATATACAGAGTCTAAAAAAGTAAATAACAGAGTACCAGAGAATAGGATGGTTGTTACTAAGGGCTGGGATGTGAGATAAAGGGGAGATGTTAGTGAAAGAGTACAAGTACTTTCAACAAGTACTAGATGAATAAATTCTATAGACTTATGTACAGCATGATAACTACATTTAATAATAATGTATATTTGGTAGGGCCTGGGTGGCTCAGTCAGTTAAGTGACTGACTTCAGCTCAGGTTATGATCTCACAGTTCATGAGTTTAAGCCCTTCATCAGGCTCTGTTGCTGACAGCTCAGAGCCTAGGCTTCAGATTCTGTGTCTCCCTCTCTCTCTGACCATAGCCTGCTTGTGCTCTCTCTCTCTCTCTCTCTCAAAAATAAATAAACATTAAAAAAAATTTTACCTAATAATAATGTATATTTCACATAATAATAATGTAAGAGAGTAGATTTCCAGTGTTCTCACATAAAAAGGAGATGGTTAACTAGGTGAAGTGATGAATATGTTAATTAATTGAGGTAGTCATTTCACATTACATACAAAACATCATATTGTACAACCTAATATGTACACTTTTATTTGTCATCATACCTTAATACAGTTGGGAAAAAGAAAGAAATAAATTCCTGTCTGCTAACTGTTAAAATATAAACAGCTTTTATTTTGATACCTACTAATGTGATGCAGAAACTACCTCAAACAACCTTATACTACTTTCTTTAATATTAACTAAGAAGAGAAAGTTTTGTGTGTGCCCAAAAGAGGTTTACTTGAAGCCTGGTGTTCAAGTTTTTTTCTTTATGTCCTTGTTCAGGTATAGAAGGAGCCTAATGCTATAGAATCAGTAAGCAATTTACCATGTTAAGGTCATTTTCAGCTTTCAATCAAATAGTTGATAAATTGGCTCATCCTCTGCCTGGACTACTGCAAACTGTCTATTTCTGTTAGGCTGAAGGAAGCCCAAGAGGTGTCCACTCAGGCTTCAGTAAGAATACTGAAATAACATGACTCTATCATGGACTAACTATCTCCAAGGAGTAGATGGTGCAATGCCCGCCACTCATGCAGAATTTCGTTTGAATACAAGGGAGTTATAAAGTCAGTTTATCGTATAAATTACCTCTGAGTTTCAGCCCCTTTGTGTTTTTTTGAAAGTTTATTTATTTTGAGAGAGAGAGAGAGAGAGCACCCACACGAGTGAACAGGGGAGGGGGAGAGAGAGAGGGAGAGAGAGAATCCCAAGCAGCTCTGCAATGTCAGTGCAAAGGCCAATGCAGGGCTCAAACCCACAAAATGTGAGATCATGACCTGAGCTGAAGTCAGACTCCTAACCAACTGGGTCATCCAGGCGCCCCCAGCCCCTTTGATATCCATCTAGTAAATAGGTGGATATTTTAATGACAGATTTAAATGACAGAATACAATAGCATTGTATTTTACTGAATTGATGCATGTTTTGTATTTGTTATTTTGTGTTATTAAGTAGAGAGAGAAAAGATATGTTCAGATTTTAGAAGGACAGATAAGAGAGACCCACCAACTTTGATGTGTGGTGATTAAGAGCAGGGATACTAGAGCAGAAGCTGTGTGGATTTGCAACCAAGCTTCGCCATTTACTACCTCTGTGTCTCTGGGCTAGTTAGTGTATCTTTCTGTGCCTCAGGTACATCTCCTATAAATAAGAGTAATCATATTACCTACCTGATTGCTGAGAGAATTAAATGAATTGGTATATGTTAACAACTTCAGATAGTACCTGCCACATATATGTTCAATAAATGTTGGTAAACATAGAGGTGGTGACAGGTGGACAAAAACAACGAATGGGCTTTAAAAAGCTAGTAAGAAAGGTGTTGGATGAGAAGGAGCTATGGCAGTCTCTACCAGGCTTGTAAACAACACAGTTAAGGGCAAGTAATGTGATAATAAATCTGTACTGAATTTTATTTGGAGTGAATGCACATCTAAGTTTCCATTTTTCAAATAGAAAGGCATGTGATATTATGTGATCCTTTGATCACATAATATTTATAAGGCTGATATTCAAAGGAGCACCCTAAGAGGTCACCAGGAGAAAGATAAGTATAAACAAAGTTTATCAAGAGGAAGAGGAAAAAGGAACAGTTATACACAAACAACAATCATCACCCAAAGGCTAATTTTGCTAAAAAGAAATATCTCTCACTTGGTTAAGCTAATGTCTTAGCCTGTAATTGTCCTGGTAAATATATATTTTACAAACGAATGAACAATTTTAAATAAGTCCAAAATAACATCAGAAGAAAAGTGAATATAGAAGAATGAAATAACTTCCTAAATGAAGTCTGAAACCTGAATACAATACTGTATGTTAAGTAACTGGAATTAAAATAACTTTTTTAAAAATAGGTAAACTGAGAAAAAAAAGAAATCTGAAATCTGTTAGTGGCTTAAGAAGATGGATTCATCATGAAGATCTACCAAAAATTGCTAAATAACTGGGATATGAGTACACATATGGCATTTTTAAAGAATCTTTAAAATAAGTAGGCATTAATACAACTTTATCATAGTTTGTGTTCATTATCTTGATCTTGGTAATAACTTCACAGTATATATGTATATCAAATTACCATATTGTATATGTTAAATATATACAATTCTATTTGAAGATTTCAGTTATTCCTCAATAAAGTTAGGAAGGGAACTGTGGAGATGTGATTCTCACCTTAGATCTATCACTTAACAAAAGTTGGAACAAATTATCTCAAATTCCAGTTCCAAAATTTCATAATTCCATACATAATCAACAGCTCTAGGTAACCAAAGGAATGTGGTAATAGGAAGCAGATACCTTAGAGGAAAAAAAATTAAACCAATTGGTATTATGGCAGTTTGGTAGACAGTTTGAGGAAAGGACATTAACCAGTTCAAAGCAAGGAAAGTATCACAGTGAAAAGGAATAACATGTTAATTTCCAACACTAAATCATTGAACACACTCTCTGTTTGGCACCTTTTGAGGGATAAAACTGTTGGAAGTGGTGGATTAAGGTGATAGCTTTGGTTTGAGACATTTTCCGCAGTAATTAAAGAATGAATAGGAAGAATTTCTTATTTTATCCCCTCCCCCCTGCAATATAAATCAAGATAAAAATGCTTACTACACAGTTTTCATAAATATTAAATAATTACTATAAAGCATCCATCCAGCACAGGAGGGCCTGAAACACAGAAGTGCCAATGTTAGCTCCCTTTATCATAATTAATTCAGGTGCTGGTGATACACAGAGACATGGTAAATGCTTAAATGTAACCTAGTACATAAAGTTAATAGAGATCTAAAACTTCAATTACTCTATTTTTTTCTGTTGTCATTGAGTGTGTAGGTAAAATCTTTTTAACCTTTAGAGTACTTAGGACATCCTCCTGTAACTCACAAGCTGATGACAGAGTTTCTTCATTGCTGCCTTCATCTCCTTGTTCCTGAATGTGTAGATGACTGGATTCAGAAAAGGTGTGAGAACTGCATCAAAGATGGCAAGAAATTTGTCCAAGTGTGATGAGGGGAAGGGCCAGGTGTAGAAGAAGATTAACGGCCCAAAGAATAAAACCACCACAGTGACATGAGCTGACAAAGTAGAAAGGGCCTTGGATAACCCACCTGAAGAGTGTTTCCAAACTGTGACCAGAATGATGATGTAAGAAATAATCAGTATAAAGAAAGAACCCACAGAGATGAGTCCACTATTGGCTGTGACCATAAACTCCAGCCTATTGGTCTCTGTGCAGGCAAGTTTAATGAGCTGAGGAAGGTCACAATAAAAGCTGTCCAATACATTAGGACCACAGAAAGGCAAGTCTACAACAAAAGCCAATTGGGCCACTGAGTGGATGAGGCCAAGGACCCAGGCTGCAGCCAAAATCAAAATGCACATACGTGGGCTCATAATGGTCAGGTAGTGGAGAGGCTTACATATAGCAACATATCTGTCAAAGGCCATGGCAATGAGCAGCACCATTTCTGTTCCCCCAATAGCATGAATAAAGAAGATCTGAGATATACAACCCCCAAAAGAGATGGCTTTGCGTTTTCTGAAGAGGTCATAAATCATTTTGGGGGCTGCAATAGAGCAAACCCCCACATCAAGAAAGGAGAGATTGGCCAGCAGGAAGTACATGGGAGAGTGCAAGTTAGGGTCAGTACTCACAGAGAACACAATGAGGAGATTTCCCATTAGGCTTGCCATGTAGAACACAGAGGAAAAGAAGAAAAGAAGAAGCTGGATCTCCCATGAATTAGAGAGTCCCAGGAACACAAACTCATATACCACAGATTGGTTGGCTCCATCCATTGCCTCTGCAAACAGAGGTGACACTAATTTTACCTGGAAAAAAAAAGTAAAGAGAAAATAAACTTTGTGGGGAGTCACTGCATGAATTTCATATTGTAAAGAAAAAACATTGCCTTATTTTACACAGCCAGAACATGTCTAATGTAACTCCTTAAACTATAGTTGCATAAAATAGGTAGTAACTCATTGCTACAAAGCACGGCTTCTAACTCCCTAGTCTCCTTAACTTCTCTAGGTTTTGGTAAGAGAAGATTAAGCAAAATCTTCTGCTAAATCCTAAGGGTCATGAGTGGCAGGCCAGGAATGCCTAGAATAACATGAAAGAAGAAGGAAGAAATGGAAGCTAACTCATTGATTTCTCCCTCAGTGTGTTACTCCTGCCCATGGAGTCCCCCAAAATTCAGGCAACTTCTGATGATCTTCATGTTCCTCACCCCTTTGATTACCTTCCATATGCAATGCTATCAGTCTCATTACTACTCTCTTATGTTTGGCCTCATGCTATTGCATTTTACCAAATCATGTTCACCTTTTCCTCTCCAAGAGAAAAGATCATGTAGAAACCCTAAAGGTATCCAGCTGTTGTTGCACAACTCATGGAGTGGAAGTGATCACAGGGTTTGAGCTCTAAGACCATATGATAAAGTAAGGACAAGCCAAGAGATGTCTTTCCTGCAGAATCTAAACATGGTTGAAGTAATACAATGTAGCAAAAAAAAATGCTATGTGATTGGTATTTGTAGATCATTGTCCATTCCATATTCACTTTTCATGGTTCATGGAAGGGCAAAAAGAACACAGCGCTTGGAATCAGAACTGTGATTAGATCCTAGCCCTAAACTACAAGAACTTAAATTTTTTCTTGCATCCCTTCTACAACTTGACTCACTTCTTGAACTCAGTTTCACCATCTGTAAAATAAAGGGGCTGAGGTGAGTGATGGTAAGTAATTTTTTCAAGTCTAACATTTCTATGAGTTTATAATACAGTGCCTCCTCAGTAAGTAATGAAGCTCACCATAATGATGGTACTCTTTGCATTGGACTACTACCATATTCACCATCTATTTCCTTGTCTACAGTTGGTTATAAGTCCCATATCCCATAGAAATCCCTCTCCTCATATCTCCCTCTTCTCTAATTCCTTTTGCACTACTTACATGACTCAATTAGCATATTATTGTTAAGTTTGCTATATGATTTATTGTGCCCTTTCTCATAATCATCTGTAATCAATCAACAAACATTTACTAGATGCCTGCTAAGCACAAAGCATTGTTACAGGACACTGTGGACCTACTGAAATGTTAAAATACCCACTACCCCTTAATGCTTTTACATTTCAGCACATATACAAAAATATAAACAATATTTAAAGACATACTATATTTAAAAATGTCTAATAAGTAGTATGATCATAAAATTTGTAAAGCAAAGAAGATACCCAGAGTGCCAGAGCGATCAGGGCTTTCTTCAGAAAGAAACCAAGACCTCTGTTGCATTTTAAGATGTGGATATAATTTATTTGAATATGCAACTTCATAGATGAGCTTAAAGAATTTTTGTAATACCTAATATAATCAGGAAATACAATCAGGATAATATGTATAATTAAGAAATATTGGCGCACCTAAGTGGCTCAGTCAGTAAAGTGTCCAACTCTTGACCTTGGCTCTGGTGGTAACGATCTCACAGTTCATGAGATAGAGCCCTGCATTAATAGTTCATGGCCAGCTTGGGATTCTTTCTCTCTCTGTCTCTCTCTCTCTGTCTCTCTCTCTCCCTCTTACTCTCTCAAAATAAATAAATAAACTTTAAAAAAAAGAACTATCTCCTAGGCTGTAGCAGTGTTTGATGAGCTATTTATGGAAATAATGATAATCAAAACAAAAAAGTGACCACCATGTACAAAACACCACAATAACTTCTTTAAATACATGTTGTTTGATATATACAGAAACCACAAAAGTTGGTATTATTAGCTTCTTTTGCAAAGAAGCAAATCCAAACCAAGAGAGGGAAAGCAATAGATTACAACAATAAATGATAGAGCTGATATTGATTCTCTGATCTGCCTCTCAACCAGTATATAGAGAAGACTACTCTTTTCTCATGACTTTCTGATTGTATAACACACCTTAGTCACTTTCTGGATGCCCCATGTTGCACTTTCAGCATCCTAGCCAGATCTAAGTGAAAGAAAATGAGGTTTTGTCCTCAAGTGTTCACAAACATTTGAGTTTCTTAAACTACTTCTCACACATCTATAATCCATCCAGGGTATTTAAAGAACCACGGTAGGAGAAGGAAAATCCATATAATACCTGCATCTCAGAACATTCTGGTTGAGTTCCCAGACCAATATTTTCTCAATCCACATGAACTCCTTTAGCTTCCCATAGAAGAGACTCAGCTCTCACAACTCTCTACTTAACAGAGAAAACAAAGGTGCTCTATCTCCATGTCAACAAATGAAATAAAGCTCAGAACTAAACCAAGTCAGATTTTATTCCCTCTTACAAGACCATCTCCTAATGGTTGAAAATCCCTTTTTTGGTTCCCCAACTGGGACAGCAATGGAGGGGGGAAAAGTAACTTCAGTTTCTGACTGCATGTCCTTTTTCTTCTCATTTGTATTGGTTCTTGCTCATTAAGCTCAACTGAAGCTGCTTCTGTTGTACAAGATAACATATTATTGATCTCTATACAAAGCAATCCTGTCACCAGAATCATCTATTCAATGCTGGCCTTTGGGGACTTCAACATTCTACACCAGTATTCCTTAACTGTTTCTGTGTTTGTCACCCACCCACTCATTTAAAGACCTAACATGTGACTGTTTCCAAAGAGTTTAGCATATCCAACTTTCCCTGGTTGAAACTAGCATTACTTCATGCACAGGTAACTATAAAAATGTTATTATCTTCAGAGATATGGGTAATTGGCACACAGGAGAATACCGACCAAATGACACTGCAGTGGCTTGGGATCACCAGTATGAGTTCATTTATTCACGGGAATTGTCATTCAGAATCCTGGCCAACCATCAGAGGAAGCTATTAATAAGTCACCAAAGAGGAAAAAGAGAAATAAATAAATAAATAAATAAATAAATAAATAAATAAATAAATCGCCATTTCTTCACTTAATTGGAGATATTTATTTCATACATAAGGTTAAAGAAGGATCTCCAACAAACATGTGAATATACACTGTCTTATATTTATATTAAAATCAACTCTGCTAAAGAACATTGATACTTAAAACAGGAACCTTCATAGATATTCCCAGGATAGTGTGTGTGTGTGTGTGTGTGTGTGTGTGTGTGTGTGTGTGTGAATTATTTGTAAATTCATTCTTCTGCTCTATAATCAAAAGCCACCATATCCATAACATAAACCGTTTATCTGTAGATTCTATTACATGATCTACAACTTCACATTAAAAATAATAACTTTTAAGTCAGAAAAAACTATACTACAAGCGCCTGGGTAGCTCAGTCAGTTAAGTGTCTGACTTCCACTCAGGTCATGATCTCGCGGTTGGTGAGTTCAAGCCATGTGTCGGGCTCTGTGCGGACAGCTCAGAGCCTGGAGCCTGCTTCGGATTCTGTGTCTCCTTCTCTCTCTGTTCCTCCCCCCACCTTTCTCTCTCTCTCTGTCCCTCTCTCTCTCACTGTATCAAAAATAAATAAATGTTAAAAAAATTTGATATTTGTAATTGTACAAGATTGGGGAGAATGTTCATCAATAGAAGAGTAGCTAAATAAATTGTGGAACATCCATAAAACAGAATATTATGAAGCCACAAGAAAAGACTGGGGACATTCTACCTGTGGGGATATAAAATGTCTTCAAACAGCAAGGTGCAAGATAGTGGGTTTAGTAGGAAACCGTTAATGTTCAAACCAAGGAAGAGGGGATGAGAGATAATACCTTATATTAGTACTTACAAGTGAATACAAAAGAAAAAGGTGAATTTTCTTAACTCTAGCAAGAGGAAGTAGCTATCTGAATAACCTTATCTAATTTTTGGATATAAATTTCCTATTCAAGAATTTTTATTTAAAAAATAAGAAGAGGGGCACCTGGGTGGCTCAGTCGGGCATCCAACTTCAGCTTGAGTCATGATCTCGGGGTTCGTGAGTTCGAGCCCCCTATTAGGCTCTGTGCTGACAGCTCAGAGCCTGGTGCCTGCTTCAGATTCTGTGTCTCCCTCTCTCTCTGCCCCTCTCCCACTCATGCTGTCTGTCTCTCTCTCAAAAATAAACATTAAATTTTTTAATTTGCTTTAAAAAACAAAGTTTATTTTATTAAATCATTCCTTCTAACCAGCTCTAGAGGCATTACTATTTGATTTTCACATTTCCTCTAAACCTCTAATAGATAGCAGAGGCTGGGAGGAGACCAGAAAAGTCTGTGAGATTTAAGACTAATTTTAAAGCAGGAAACACTTAGACCAAAAAAAAAAAAAAAAAAAAAATATATATATATATATATATATATATATATATATAAAATGAAAGAATTAAAATAAAAACACAAGAATGTCAATTTTCCCAAAGTAAATCCCTAAATATAATGTGATCTCAATACAGTTATCATCAAGACTTTTTTCAGGAGCTAGATAAATTATCAATTTCATTTGAAAGACCAAATGAACCAGGATAGTTAGGTAATCTTGAAAGGGGAAATCATGGGAAGGAGGAGGAGGAAGAACTCTCTAACAGATATTAAAATATATTAAAAGCCTTTGTAAATAAAAACTGTAGGAATAAACAGATAGATTAATGGGACCAAATAGAAAATACGGACATCCTCAACTGCAAATTGGAAATTCAGTATTCAATAAAGATGGCCTCTCAAATCAATGGAAAATATATGGACTTTTTTTCAAGTTTTTATTTAAATTCTAGTTGGTTAACATATAGTGTAATATTGGTTTCAGGTGTAAAATTTAGTGACTCATCACTTACCTATAACAACCAGTACTCATCACAACTGCCTTCCTTAATGTTCATCACCCATTT